AACCGTTTCAGCATTGAATGTAACCTTAATTTTTTCTGTGCATAAAACGGAGGACCTGTGCAAAATCGCAAAAATTTTCTAGTTTGCGCTGATCTGCATTCCTAATGTACCTCTGCAAGTAAGTAAATGTTGTCTGCTCTTCCTGTGATAAAGCCTCTGTTTGCAGCATGTCAACTGCAAACATTCGTTTGTTGCTTTTTTGGACTCATAAATGAAGGACACCAGCTGGATGACACAGATTTAATGCAATGCCTTTGAAAATGTCAGTAAAGCAATCAACGATATACTTTGGTTCTTGTAATATGACTTTATGAGCCATGATCTGTATTGCTTGCTTGATATTTTCCTGAGATGGAATGCAGTGAGCCCCCATCTGTGAAAACAGATCCAACAAATTTTCCTCCTCATCCTCTTCCAATACTCCACTGAGGGCCTTTTCTGTGGTACTTCTCTCGCTCTCTGACAAATACTTAGAAAAGGAGGACAAACCAAACTTCTTCTTCTTCCTGATAACTCTGCCTGCGAATTACTTTTTAAAGCGACAGTTTTTATAGTTATATTTATATTATTGACATTTTAACTGGATTACTACTAACCTAAGGACTGGGGGATTTTCGTACTTTATTTTATTTTTACCTACTTTTCTTTACCTCCAAGTTAAACCAGGGCAAAATGCCTCCGACTGACCCCAAGGACATGAGCAGCATTTTACAACGACTTCAGTTTATAGAAATGAAGATCAAACTGCTGGAGGTGAACTTTGAGATCAACGCTGCCTGTGGAAATGAAACGACCCTTCCTCAAATCAACGGAGAGGTCGGGAGCCCTGCATCGAGCAGCTCACCCTGGAACGCTCTGGGTGCCAAGCCGAAACGGGAGTCTCGCACTGCGGATCCGATGAGACGACTATCAGAGAGAACCCGCACCTGGACGAATCAGCGTGGCCGGCTCTGAGCCGAAACCCACCTTCAACTTCAACACCTGCTCCGCCAAAGAAAGACAAACAAGCAGCTGCAACCAAAACGCCTCCACCGACCCCACTGACCCGCTGACCCGCTGACCCCGCTCCAGGGACAAAGCAACCTGCACGAGCCTCAAAAACATTCTGACTCTGTGGGAATCCCACTGAAAAACAGATTTTCTGCACTCCAGCCTGAGCCTCTGAGTGAAACTTCGCCTTCAAATATCAACAGTGAGGCAAGACCAAACATCCATCCCCCAAAGCTCCAAAGGACAAAGCGACCACCAGGAAAACTAAAGGTAACCCAAAAGTGCTTGTTGTTGGAGATGAGGCAGTAAAGGGAATCAGTGACGTTTGCAATCCAAGGAAAACAAGAGTGATGTATTTTCCTGGTGACACTGTATCTGATTAACCAAAAACTGCTCTCTCTAACCACTGATCAGCCAGATATTCAGACTTTAGTTGTGCATGTTGGAGCCAACGATCTGGCAAAGCAAAAGTCTGAGATTCTGAAAAAGGACTTTAACATTCTTCTGGACACTATGGGAAAACTGAGAATGAAGTTATTTCTCAGTGGTCCAATTCCATCACCTCAATGGGGAGATGAAAAACACTCCAGGCTGCTCACGATCAACAAATGGCTGATTAAAACCTGCTCTACCAGCTCAGTGACCTTCATCGATAACCTCTGGATCTATGGCAGCGCTTTCACCTTTTTGGAGAGGAGGAGCAATCTTAATAAACATGGGATAAAGCTACTCACTGCAAACCTTTTTTATTTTATCAACAAGGACAGCAACAGGATCATCGCGCCAGAAGAACAGGCTCAAGGATGTCTGACTAGGATGGAACGCTCCCCGGATCAGGAGCACGATATTCCAAAACAAGCTGATAAATCGACTGGAGACGGAGCGACTGCTTCCCTCGCTCCTTCCCCTCCCTCTCTGCCTCCAATCATTCACAGGATTCAATGGATACCAATGAAGAAATGTCTTCCGGACCAGAGTTTTTTAAATTTACAGATGGAATGAATCAACAGGTTCGCCTCGGCACGTCTCTCCTTAGTACTCACGTAGCAGACCTCACTACATTTAAGCCACCTGCCCCTGACTTTCCAGAGGATCCATCACTCTGCGTCTCTGAGGTCTGAGGCTGGGGACCAGATATTATCTTTACACCCGTCTTCCTCCAGAATGCAACTGGCCCCTGGAAATGCAGAACAGGACATTACCTGTCCGGATCACTACAAGAAAATTTACAAAAAATAGAAATATGAAATACAGCGGTCCTAATTTGAACCTCAGGCTGACCCTGCTAAAGGAACCTCAGACTGAAAATCTTTTGGCCTCCAAGTCACTTAAAATAGCACTTTTAAATACCAGATCACTCTGTGCTAAAGCTCTATTAATTAATGATTTCATCACTGAGTATAATGTTGATGTTATGTTTCTGACAGAAACATGGTTGAATGACGATAATGACCAAATTGTACTCATTGAATCAGCGCCTCCTGACTACAATTTTTTAAGTGAGAATAGAAAACATAAAAAAGGAGGAGGCGTGGCTTCTATATTTAAAAATACCATAAACTGTAGTAAAATCTCTTCGGTCATTTCACATCTTTTGAGTATCTTGGAATTCAGGTTAAAGGCTTCAAACGAACTTTGACACTAACTTTATACAAAACTCCAGCATATGTGGAAAATTTCTTGACTGACTTGAATGATCTTTTATCTCTCATATGCATGATTTTGATTGTTTAATAATTGTTGGTGATTTTAACATTCATGTGGACAAACCCGAAAACAGAGGAGCAAAAAAGCTCTTGATATTTTAGAAAATTTTGGTTAACACAACATGTCAAACAAGCAACACACACTCCAGGACACACACTGGACCTGGTTATCAGTAAGGGTGTGACTATTTCCAATGTCTCTGTAACTGATGTCGCCCTGTCGGATCACTTTGCTGTTATCTTTGAAGGTTCTTTATTCTTTGACCCACTTGGACAAACAGCTACTGTCACAAAACGTTCTTTCACAGAAAAACACAACAGAAACATTTAATCAAATCTATTCTTCCTCCTCACCCTTAAGCTGTAATGATGTAGATCAGTTGTTAGATGATTTTCAGTCTAAAGTCTCATATATCATTAATTCCATTGCCCCATTAAAGTAAAGGTTTTGACTGGTAGAAAGAAATCTCCATGGAGAAATGCACAAATAGTTCGGTCTGCAAGACAAGTCTGCCGCAGGGCAGAACGATAATGGCGTAAAACTCAACTTCATGTTCATCATGACATCTACAAAGAAAAAACTACGTAACTATCACTTAACACTAAAACATGCAAGGGAGGCTTTCTTGGCAGATGTCATAAACAAAAAACATCAATAATGCTCGAACTTTATTTGCAACAGTTGACAGGCTCACAAACCCTCCTGTGACGTTACACATGAACTCCAATCTAATGCTGCCTGGAACAGGTTTTCCAGCTTCTTTTCAGGAAAATCCAAAAAATCAGAGGATTAATCTGCACATCAACTTCAAAGCCAGAACCATTGCTGTACCAAAAACAAAACAAATACAGAAAAAATGACCCATTTTCAACTACTTAATTATAAAACTCTAGAAGAAATTATAAGTCAATTAAGTTCAAGCTCCTGCTGTCTGGATGTCCTACCCACACATTTCTTTAAGAAAGTCCTGCTGTTATTGCTACTGATCTGATCCAAATAGTAACTCATCGCTTACATCAGGTGTTTTCCCCCAGGCCTTGAAAACAGCAGTCATCAAACCACTGTTAAAAAAGAACAACCTGGACAAATCACTATTGCAGAATTACAGGCCAATCTCAAATCTCCCATTCATCAGCAAAGTTATTGAAAAAAACTGTGTGTAAACAATAAATAGTTTCCTCATGATGACCAACTGCTTGACACTTTCCAGTCTGGTTTTCGTGCTCACCACAGCACGGAGACTGCCCTCGTAAAAGTATTCAATGATATTCATATAAATACGGACTGTAGCAGAACCACGGTGCTGGTTCTGTTGGACCTCAGTGCAGCTTTTGACACTGTCGACCATGACATATTATTGAATCGACTTGAAAGTTGGGTTGGACTCTCTGGGTTCGGTGCTCGACTGGTTTGAATCCTACATAAAGAACAGGGATTTCTTTGTTTCAATTGGAAACTTCATCAAAGAGGTCAAAGGTCACATGTGGGTACCCCAAGGTTCAATCCTAGGACCCCTCTATTTAATATTTATATTCTCCACTAGCTCAGGTTATAACAGGAAATAATATTAGCTACCATAACTATGCAGATGACACACAGCTCTACATTACGATGTCACCAGGTGACTCTGAACCCATCCAATCACTGAATAAATGTTTAGAACAGATAAATGTGTGGATGTGCCAAAACTTTCTCCAACTGAACAAAAATAAAAACTGAAGTCATTATTTTTGGACCTAAAGAGGAACGATCTAGAGTCAATGCACAGCTTCAGTTATTACAACTAAAAACTAGCGATCAGGCCCGAAACCTGGGAGTAGTGATGGACTCGGAGCCACATAAAGACCAGAGCCACATAAAGACAGTAACAAAATCAGCCTTCTACCACCTGAAGAACATCTCCAGGATAGAGGACTAATGTCAGCCAGATCTAGAGAAACTTATTCATGCGTTTGTCTTCTTCTACTGCTTGAAGACCAAGTACAGAGGCAACTATGAATGTCTTGGACAACCTGACTGGAAATATGCCATAATCAATGAGTCCTTTGGCCCCAAATTCGGCTTACTGCATATCACCTCTCTTTGGAAAAGTCTGGTCTGAGTTTTGGCACCCTCTCCTCCTCCCCTTCACAGAGCTCCAAGAACTGCTCCCAGAAAGCTGTATACATGTCCCTTGACACTCCACTGTCGTCCACAGCCATTTCATGATTAATTCCATTCTTAATTCTGATTCCATTATGCTTTTGTCTATGAACAACTTAAGAAGGTCATCTATGACTATGGCACAGCGGATATGTGCATACCTGGTCTTTGGGATGTCCTACATCTCCAGTGGAAGACGGTAGTGCATAATTTTCTGTTGAAGGGATCATGTGTACTACAGCTGTTTGTGGAGCCTGGAATATAACATGAATTAGAACAGTACATTTTAGTTGTCATATTTTCTTCATAAGACAACCAAGAGTTTGAAAAGACATAGTAATAATTTAGATATGTAAGTATCTAATTTAGGAACTTCATGACATTCATTACATTGGTGTAACGTTATTTTTAAAAATGCAAACAAATCATGTACAGAAGCAAATAAAATTTTAAAACAAAACACATTTACTTCTGAAAAGTTTTCGGCTTCTGTCTCAGGATGACTGGCCATCATGGGAAGAGTAGAAGCAAGCTCACCATCACCATCTTCTGACCTTGATCTCCCCAGCGTCCCTACAGGTTTCCCGGCGTCCCCCAGGTCTCCCTGGCGTCCCTCCAGATTTTCCCGGCGTCCCTACAGGTTTTCCCGGCGTCCCTCCAGGTCTCCCCGGCGTCCCTACAGGTCTTCCCGGCGTCCCTCCAGGTCTCCCCGGCGTCCCTACAGGTCTCCCCGGGGTCCCTACAGGTTTTCCCGGCGTCCCTCCAGATTTTCCCGGCGTCCCTCCAGGTTTCCCCAGCGTCCCTACATGTCTCCCGGGGTCCCTACAGGTCTCCCTGGCGTCCCTTCAGGTTTCCCCAGGCTCCCTACAGGTTTCCCCAGGGTCCCTACAGGTTTCCCCGGTGTCCCTACAGGTTTCCCCGGGGTCCCTACAGGTTTCCCCGGGGTCCCTACAGGTTTCCCCGTCGTCCCTCCAGGTCTCCCCTGCGTCCCTACAGGTTTCCCCCTGGGTCCCTACAGGTCTCCCTGCGTCCCTACAGGTTTCCCCAGGGTCCCTACAGGTTTCCCCCGGGTCCCTACAGGTTTCCCCGGGTTCCCTACAGGTTTCTCCGGGGTCCCTACAGGTTTCCCCAGGGTCCCTACATGTTTCCCCGGGCTCCCTACAGGTTTCCCCGGGGTCCCTACAGGTTTCCCCGGGGTCCGTACAGGTTTCCCCAGGGTCCCTACAGGTTCCCCCGGGTCCCTACAGGTTTCCCCAGGGTCCCTACAGGTTTCCCCGGGGTCCCTACAGGTTTCCCCGGGCTCCCTACAGGTTTCCCCGGGCTCCCTACAGGTTTCCCCGGGGTCCCTACAGGTTTCCCCGGGGTCCCTACAGGTTTCCCCGAGGTCCCTACAGGTTTCCCCGGGGTCCCTACAGGTTTCCTCAGGGGCCCTACAGGTTCCCCGGGGTCCCTACAAGTTTCCCCGGAGTCCCTACAGATTTCCCAGCGTCCCTCCAGGTCTCCCCTGCGTCCCTACAGGTTTCCCCGGGGTCCTACAGGTTTTCCCAGGGTCCCTACAGGTTTCCCCGGGCTCCCTACAGGTTTCCCCGGCTCCCTACAGGTTTCCCCAGGGTCCCTCCAGGTCTCCCCTTCGTCCCTACAGGTTTCCTCCTGGGTCCCTACAGGTTTCCTCCTGGGTCCCTACAGGTTTCCCAGGGTCCCTACAGGTTTCCCCGGGCTCCTACAGGTTTCCCCGGGGTCCCTACAGGTTTCCCCGGGGTCCCTACAGATTTCCCCGGGGTCCCTACAGGTTTTCCCGGCGTCCCTCCAGGTCTCCCCTGCGTCCCTCCAGGTCTCCCCGGGGTCCCTACAGGTTTTCCTGGCGTCCCTCCAGATTTTCCCGGCGTCCCTCCAGGTTTCCCCAGCGTCCCTACATGTCTCCCCGGGGTCCCTACAGGTCTCCCCGGGGTCCCTACAGGTTTTCCGGCGTCCCTCCAGGTCTCCCCTGCGTCCCTCCAGGTCTCCCCGGGGTCCCTACAGGTTTTCCTGGCGTCCCTCCAGATTTTCCCGGCGTCCCTCCAGGTTTCCCCAGCGTCCCTACATGTCTCCCCGGGGTCCCTACAGGTCTCCCCGGGGTCCCTACATGTTTCCCTGGGGTCCCTACAGGTCTCCCTGGCGTCCGTCAGGTTTCCCCAGGCTCCCTACAGGTTTCCCCAGGGTCCCTACAGGTTTCCCCGGTGTCCCTACAGGTTTCCCCGGGGTCCCTACAGGTTTCCCCGTCGTCCCTCCAGGTCTCCCCTGCGTCCCTACAGGTTTCCCCCTGGGTCCCTCCAGGTCTCCCCTGCGTCCTACAGGTTTCCCCAGGGTCCCTACAGGTTTCCCCGGGTCCCTACAGGTTTCCCCGGGTTCCCTACAGGTTTCCCCGGGGTCCCTACAGGTTTCCCCAGGGTCCCTACAGGTTTCCCCGGGGTCCCTACAGGTTTCCCCAGGGTCCCTACAGGTTTCCCCGGGGTCCCTACAGGTTTTCCTGGCGTCCCTCCAGATTTTCCCGGCGTCCCTCCAGGTTTCCCCAGCGTCCCTAATGTCTCCCGGGGTCCCTACAGGTCTCCCCGGGGCCCCTACAGGTTTCCCTGGGGTCCCTACAGGTCTCCCTGGCATCCCTTCAGGTTTCCCCAGGCTCCCTACAGGTTTCCCCGGGGTCCCTACAGGTTTCCCCGGTCTCCCTACAGGTTTCCCCGGGTCCCTACAGGTCTCCCCTGCGTCCCTACAGGTTTCCCCAGGGTCTCTACAGGTTCCCCGGGTCCCTACAGGTTTCCCCGGGTTCCCTACAGGTTTCCCCGGGGTCCCTACAGGTTTCCCCAGGGTCCCTACAGGTTTTCCCGGGTCCCTACAGGTTTCCCCGGGGTCCCTACAGGTTTCCCCGGGGTCCCTACAGGTTTCCCCAGGGTCCCTACAGGTTTCCCCGGGCTCCCTACAGGTTTCCCCGGGGTCCCTACAGGTTTCCCCGGGGTCCGTACAGGTTTCCCCAGGGTCCCCTACAGGTTCCCCTGGGGTCCCTACAGGTTTCCCCCTGGGTCCCTACAGGTTTCCCCCTGGGTCCCTACAGGTTTCCCCAGGGTCCCTACAGGTTTCCCCGGGCTCCCTACAGGTTTCCCCGGGCTCCCTACAGGTTTCCCCGGGGTCCCTACAGGTTTCCCCGGGGTCCGTACAGGTTTCCCCTGGGGTCCCTACAGGTTCCCCTGCGGTCCCTACAGGTTTCCCCCTGGGTCCCTACAGGTTTCCCCGGGGTCCCTACAGGTTTCCCCAGGGTCCCTACAGGTTTCCCCGGGGTCCCTACAGGTTTCCCCGGGGTCCCTACAGGTTTCCCCGGGGTCCCTACAGGTTTCCCCGGGGTCCCTACAGGTTTCCCCGGGGTCCCTACAGGTTTCCCCGGGGTCCCTACAGGTTTTCCCAGGGTCCCTACAGGTTTCCCCAGGGTCCCTACAGGTTTCCCCGGGCTCCCTACAGGATTCCCCGGCTCCCTACAGGTTTCCCCAGGGTCCCTCCAGGTCTCCCCTGCGTCCGTACAGGTTTCCCCCTGGGTCCCTACAGGTTCCTCCTGGGTCCCTACAGGTTTCCCCCGGGTCCCTACAGGTTTCCCCGGGGTCTCTACAGGTTTCCCCGGCGTCCCTACCGATTTTCCCAGCGTCCCTACAGGTCTCCCCGGCGTCTCCTTCCTGCTGCTATCCTGACCAGCCTCTGAGTCCTGAGTCCTCTGTACCGGAGACCATCAATATTTGCACATGATGGTGCAAATATTGTTTCCCCGGGGTCCAAGTGCAAGACCGGTCTCGAGTACAGCAATACAGGCAATCCCTATTCCGAAGCCTAGGGCAAAACATTTTAAGAAAGATGGCTTCTGCACTGGCACGTCTTCATCCAGCTCCTTGTCCATGTTCAACTCTCTATCCTCCCCCTTTTTTTGAGATGTTTTCTTTTTTTCCTTAGATACTTGTATTCCTCTCGCAATTTCAAAATTTCGTTCTCCATTTTCTCAACTTCCTGTTGTTTTCAAGCTCGTGCTCTGCAAGTTGAGCCTCCAGCTCCAGATATTGTTCGTTGTCCATTGTCCAAACAAATCGCAGACAAGCAATTTCGATAGGAGAGCCTTCAACAAATGATTGATATTTTCCTGGCTGTTCCCTGGAATTCAAGAATGCAGCTCTATGATGTCACAGAGGAACGTGATGTCACAGAGGAACGTGATGTCACGTTTCCCGCTCCAGCAGAACAACTGAAAAACGTCTGAAGTTTGAATAAAAACAATTTTCATTTTCTATTTTATATTGTGAAACTAGGAAAAAAACATCTACACCATTAATCAATGAAAATATGAATTCCTATTGAGTCAGTGATATTTATCATATCATATATGAAATGTCCGATGACAATTTTAGGATTGAAACTTAATTTGCTGTTTCTGAAATGTGTCCCTGTAAAACACGCTGTAACTTATCTAGGTGTTAAAGGTCACAGGAACAGGTAGTATTTTTGCTCTTGTTTGCGAGTGTTCAAAAGAAATTCAACAGTCGGCAAGAAAGGGATTTAAGCAGAAGGAATGTTAAGGGCGCCATATGTTTTTTCACCAGTAGATGTCAGTAAAGCGCTTTGTTCTGATCTGGACAAGATTCCCTTGGAGTTTTTTTTTCTCTATAAAAATACTGCACATAAAATAATAATAATAATATAATGGGCTTTTAAATTCTGTAGCAGGAGGTTTAAATGTTTTGACACTTACTGTCTTTAATCAAATAGTAAAAATTAATCTGATTAAGAGTTTAAAAAACTCTTAAAAAAAAATTGAAAATAAACTTTCATGTGGAATATTTTCCCAAATCATCTGTTCAGCAAACCAGGGTGTATACATCTGTTGTTGTGTTGTATTTTTTTCAGTTAGGAAAACATCCAGACAAATCAGCTAAATTTCATCAGCAGCTACATAAATCATTACTGCTGTGAAACTGGGTTGATGAAAATATTAATTTGATAAGCCAGTTACTCGATACTAATTGTGAATCAGCGACCTGCGATCATTAAATCATGGAAATATAATTAACATTGCTTTTTCACCCCGAGGTTTGTACTAAAAGTACCTATTTTTCATTTGGCTTGACCAATTCTGATTTTTTTTTTCTTCAAAATTGCTGAATTTTCGTTTTCCCATTTAAATTGCCGGAAGCGAAGCTGGTGGCAGCAGAGAGTTGAGCCTCAAGTTGATCAACCTCTCACTAACTGGAGCATGTTCCTCCTGTCTGTACATCACCAATGGCAAAAAAAAAAACTTTGATTTTCCCTAATTTAGCTTCTGTAATATAATGTATAGTGTACCACCCGGTACCTCCTGCTGACTGTTGGCTCTGCTTCTCCTTAATGTTTCTGCCAGGTGGGTAAAAGCCGCTGCTGATGGGATCTGGCCTGGAAGTGAACGGCTGTAAATAGAAGACACTGCAGAACCTCAAGTGTTAAAGGAAGTTTCGGCCCAGAGCATTTAGAGGTTATGAAATAAACGTCAGAGAAAATACTGCAGCAATAATTAGAACCGCAGCATAAAGCCAAACATGCCGCAATTAAATGAATCAAAATGTCCCCAAAGAATCGGCGGGCTGACATAGGGGCCAACGGGGGATTCAGGTAGATTCCAGAGATGCAGGTTGGCTCAAAGTAATATGGGGCCCTAGACAGACGTTTAACATGTTTAAATATCAGTGAATCTGTTAGAGGGAGACCAGATTTATTGTTCTAGATCTCAGATGTGCAAACATCAAAAATTATATATAGTTAAACCCCTTGAGCTTTTTGTTCTATAAATCAGTCTGCAGCCAACTTGTTCTCAATGTTAAGATTTTATTAGGGCTTAATTAGTAAAATGGCAGCAAATAAGCTTATTTCATAACTGCATAACCTTTGACCTCTCCTCTGGTCTGTTTAACAGCTAGTCTCAGATCAACTCAGCCCTCCAGACCATCAGCAGCAGAAAAGGCAACTTTATTCCTATTGGGGAAAATATACTACAGCTGCTTTGCATTGTGCCCACATGATGGCAATGACACAGATTGATCCAATTAGATTCTTGATTAATAATGGGTTGTTGCTGTGTTGTTGTTCGGTCTTTTAGGCACATCCCTAAACAAAGGCAAATCTTTCGTCCTAGACATCTGCTGCTCAAAGATGTTTTAACGAGACAAAAAGTCGTACAGAATATTTGCTTTATTATGAAACCTGGGGGATTTGTTCACAGAAAGCCATCCTTCATTTGTACAGACCCATGAAGCAGGTTGTTGTTGCAATTACAAAAACAAAAGGAGACACTGTGTCCAGAGCAGGCTGAGGTCGCAAAACTGTTTTAATACAAAACTGAAGCACGTTTGGTTCCACGCAGCATTCAGGGACCGTAGGAATTACACGGCGGCGCTCTGACGGCTGCGTGGCACTCAACATGCTCCAGAAACTAAACATGGCATATTGTTGTGAAACCAAAACCTGACGACAATTCTAAAAGCAACTAAGCCCAAACAAAATATATTAAGTGTACAAACTCCCAACCGCCCTTTCGACCCCGCCCTCAGTCAACATTTAATATGGATTTCAGATTTCATTCACTTTTGTTTCGGAGCTATCATCCAAATAGCTCAGTTAAAATCTGACCCTCAACGACCAGCAGTCGAGTTTTAAACTGTAAAAAAACGTACTAGACATGTGAACAAGTGGTCTGGTTGATTTAGTTAAATACACGGGGAGCAGAGACGAACCTCCATGAAAATGTCCACTGAGTTCCCTTGGCATGTTCCACTTTCAATCCAATAACAGTGGTAGAGGTTATCTCATTTTTATTTTTTTAGAAAGACCAGCTGCAAGATGAATCCTTAACACTTCAAAACATGAGTGGAATGGTGAACTTTGACCCTTACGAACAACCCTCCACCTCCCAGATGCTGCATTCCAATGAAATCCTACATCCCCCCCTGTGTGACTCCGCGCAGGCGTTCTGACATTTTTCTTGCGTTGCGCTTGCAGAAACCTCGGCCATTTGCGCCAGCGAATGCTTTCCTGCCGAGAAACCGGCGCTTAACTAGACTTTAATCAAACCTCGACCAAAACCTGGCAAACCCAAAAGAGAAAGAAAAGAATGAAAGAATCCGACGTCTACAAGGAGACTCTTTTGGCCATATGTTTCCAAACATACAATTAAAGAGGGAATTAAGCAGGTAACAGAGCAGCAACAACGAAAAATATTCATCAGATCAAATCATGTGTTGGCTTTTCTCAAAATGGCCAGTCTTGTCTCTCAGTGTGGAAATAACTGTCTTGGTGTTGGAGGAGAAAAAAAACAAACAAAAAAAAACTGTGGAGGACACACAGGATGGATGGATGGATGGAGGGAACTACACCACTCGTCGCACTTCAAAAAATCTCTTCAAGTAGTAAATCTGTCCGAGTGTCATGGCCACCAGAACGAGGGCTTCGAAGAAGGACCACAGGACCACTCTGCTGTTTGTGTTGTCGTTAACTAGAAGGACAAAAACAACAAACAAAAAAAAACACAGCAGACAGGATGTGAGGATAAATTTTACTCCGCTTTATCAGAACAAACGGTTGCTGGGTTTGCGTCCTTACCCGCTCTGTGTATCCTCTCACGGACCTCCATGTACTCCTGCTCGTGCTTCACCGCCGTCATAGCGACGGCGAGCTCGTTGATCATCTCCTCCAGCTTGTTTTGATGAGCTGAAACGAGCAGCGAGCGAGCCGTTAAACCCAGAAGGACGACGCGTGCAGAGGACGTGCGTCAGGCTTCTACGCTGTACATGCAAAAAAACCGTCTTGCATCCGAGACATGATTCCTTTACAACTACAGTTCTGTGGAGGAGTATTTGCTCTGCTTATGGATTTCATCTGACTCGCATTTAAATGATTGCTGTCAAACTTTAAAATATATATATAAAAAGTCACACTTGGATAACCTGAAGAAAATGGACAGACAAGGTGAAAGTGGAACTTTTTTGGGGAAAGTTGCCCCACTTTTCAGAAAAGTGAACCATACAAACAGTGAAGCATGGTAGTGGTAGTATGATGGTCTGGAGCTGCTTTGCCGTTTTAAGACATGAATGATGTGCAGAAACCATAATTTTTCTTTCTTCTCTCTAAATGAAAATCTTGAAATAATCAAGTGTTTGGATGTTTATGCAGCAGGTTCAACCCAAACAAAATGGAAGGTTGCTGAGCAGTTGGGTCACTGTGTGCGCTTAAAGTGGATTGAGATGCTGCAAAGTAACCTTAAACTGACACTGCATGTTCATCGGTTCATTTCTGTCTGATGCTCTTCAGTAACCAAGAAAGACGAGCTAAACCTGCTGAAATCCATAAAAGAAGCAGATACTTTTTCATAGCACACCATTTCTCTGATACTCAGTGCAAACAGTTAAAAAAAACAAACATTAAGGCCGCATCTGTTGCAAACAACATCTAATATTAGTTTATAATATCAAAACAAGACTGGTTAGAGAAAACTCCACAGTGCATCCCAAATTTAATATGACAGTTTTCACTTATTCTGCCTTTCTTTTTTTCCTACCATCCCAGCTGTCACCACCTATAAAGGAGGGAAATTTACCCAAAGTAAAGTCAAAAAAGAAATTCAAACGAGAAAATCTTTAAAATAGAAACAGCATCACATAAAACGGGCCGTGTACTCAGACGTGGCCGATCTGAGTACCTTCCGTCTCCATGTCCTGGCCTTTCGGCGCCTCTCCGATGTCGATGGTGAACATGACGATCTTGGGCGTCATGGTGGACATCTTGTTGCTGAAGCAGAACCTGTAGGTTCCGTCCATGTGTGCAGCCACGGAGTATTTCCCACTCGACTCTCTGTCTCCTTTGTAAATCTGTTTACCATCAGGCCCAGTTATCTGAAGAGAGAACAATATCTGGGTAAGAAATAATGAAAGGGTGCAGTTTCACCCAGAAAACTTGCTAAGGCTGGTGGTAGGAGGCGCTGCTGTGTTTGAGTTAAACAAAAACAACTCAAATTGTGTAAAATAAAAACTCCTGACCTCTGGCTCCCTATATATGCGCATACTGGCAAACGATGTTGCCATTGTGCTTCCAACAGTTTTACTAACGAGAGGCTTGTTAACCCGTCTTTGTTTGCCATCACAGTTACTGGTGTACAAACAAATGAATAAAAACAATGCAGCCTGGTGGGGGGAGTAAAGCCTGGAGGCCCGTCAGGCTTATGAAGCTCTGTATGGGGCAGATATGTGGTAAATTCTTTTTTGACAATTTTTATTGCCATAGTATATCCACAAAAGCACAACAACACTCAAATAAAGGCCCACTCGCCTAGAATCTCAAAAGAAATTTTCAGTAATGTTCAATTTTTATGGAAGGTTTAAAAAAAATGACAGGGAAAAAAGTGAAGTAGTGAAAAGTTGACCCATGTAACACCACTATCCATCGCTGCTACGTCTTTTTCTTCTCTATGAGGAGAGAGATGTACTTGTGATCTTTAACCCGCAGCCTGTGGTCTCTCACTCTTGCGATAATACAGCGACTGTCTATATTTTTCCTAATCTGCGCTTCCATCGACCTGTGAAATTAAGCATTTTGTGCAACGTCATCTCTATCTGATTAGAGCGTCTCCTGCCAATAGACCGTCCAACTGGTGAAGCAACACTTACTACTCCAAACAGTCAATTGCGACATGAATATTGCACTCCGGTATCATGCAGTATTAGGATTAGTACAACAGGGTTACCCTTACAGAATATTTTACTAGCAATTCATTCCAAGTTAAATATAGACCAATCAGCATAGATGCGACTCTGGTCAATAAATTACGACGAATGGAAATGGGTAAGAAATTGATCACTTTATCAGTGGGAGGAACTCATATCAGAAATCATAATGTGCCATCATATTGATCCTCTACTCAACTCAAATGAGTCAAATCTCACTTTGAAGCTTCTACAATACAAGAGCACATCCTAAGAGTATAAATCAGTGATGCACATATCGCAATACACAGGTGTTATCAACAATAATACGTCTCATAGAAAGTTTAATGTTCAATTCATAGATTATTCACGAAACACCAATCCAGAACCGCACAGCATTCTGGGGGATGAAGGCAGAGTAAAGTCTTCAGCCGCTCAACCTCTCAGCTGACTCGCTCTTTCATTACCTAGCAACAACCTGTTTTGGTGTCTGGAAAATGAGCCGTTCCAAAAACCTTCAGCTAACCAAGTCACAATCTGAGGATGCTGCGATGTTGCCTGGCTTCCATTGGCTTAAAGTCTGTTAAAAATATATATATTAATCACCATTTGCTAACCATGAATTAAAAAAAAAGAACATTAGTAGACAGTATTTTTTTTTAACTGCAGATGCAACCTTTGCTGCAAATGATGCTTTCATGCTACATATTGCAATTTTTTTTAAACTGACTTAAACTGAATTATGTTTTTGTGTGTATTTTGTTGTATTTGTAATGTGTAAAAACAGGCTTAAATACAAAAAAAATTTGCAAAATGCCGATGTTTTTTTTTTTGTCCGATTAATCAATTGTCAAAAATCATAGTTGGCTGCAGCTTTAATCAGGACGTGTATGTGTTTGGCTCAGTCTGAATGTCTGTCCTTCGTCCAGGTGAAACCATCTTGGGTCTGAGGGAGAGCCTGACGTGGGCCACATCCTGCCTGAAGGGAGAGGACTCCTCTGTGGCCGTGTCCTCCGGGGGAGAGCTGTTCCTGCGCTTCATAAGCCTCACATCCCTGGAGCATCAGGTGACGCGTGTTTCACGTTGTAGCGTTTGTGACGGCTGACAGCGTGAAGCAGGTTTTCACGTCGCTGCGGAGTCATTTCGAGCCACGTTTTTGAGCATGCCCAAAATTCAGACTTTGATTAGGCCACTTCAAAACCTTTACGTTAGTTGTAATATTTGCCAGTCGCCATTTTCTTCCAAATTGTTTTGGTGTGATTTTAAAAGGCCAATAATTCCTCGTATGGGTCACCACTGATCCATGTTTTTCCAAAAATAAAAACTCTTGACCCAGATCAGTGTCTGCGCTTCATAACAGGCGTTTCTGTCTCCAGGACTTGTCTCGCTGTAAGAAGGTGATGGAGGAAAGAGGAGAACTGTTTCTAGAGAAGATCTCCATGTCCAGGAACAAAGTCGCTAAGCTCTGTCACACCTTCATCAAAGACGGAGCTGTAAGTACTGGTCCCGTCTCCTCTCCTTGCTCTTTGCGCTCGCTTCACCTCGTGCCTTTCTTTCCCCTGCCAATCCTCTCAGAAAATCCTGACTCACTCGTACTCCAGAGTGGTCCTGCGGGTTCTGGAGAAAGCTGCAGCGGAGAAGAAGCGCTTCTCCGTCTATGTGACCGAATCGCAGCCTGACGCCACAGGGTGAGCGAGTGAGCGAGGACGAGTTTCTTTCTCACAGGACACGAAATGATTCTGCGTTTTTCTCCTTTTGTTGAAGGCGGCAGATGGCAGAGGCCCTGAAGAAACTCAACGTTCCAGTAACAGTAGTGCTGGATGCAGCTGTAGGGTAAGCTACTCTGGGGTTCTGAGCTGGAGGGGGAACCGCAAATGGTTTATTTAATCATTCTTTCGTCACTGGTTGGATTTTGTTATTGGAAATATCCAACTGGAAAATACATGTCTAAGATAAAATAAACTCCATCAGTTCCATTATGAAAACAAAGAGAAAATAAAGCTATTATTAAAAAAAAAAAAAAAAAATGTTGCTGGTCAATCGATACAATTGTTAAAAAAAGTCAAGTTAATTTTTTTAGATATCATTTTAATATCATGTTCAATAAATTTCTCAGTTATTTGTTCATCAGCCTGAGCAGGAGAAAACAAACTTACTGATGTAAAAATGTTGCTTTCTTAGTGACATTTAAAGCCTCCAGTGACTCTGATATACTCTACTAACTGGAGTTTAGCTTTTGTACAACAGTATTACATGTCTTTTATTTTTGTCTGGGTTTTTTTGTTTTATTTTGGTCACAAAAGTCGCTAAATGCAGCAGCAAATTTGCTAAGTTGGTGACAGTGCGGTGCCGTCAGTCAGGACAGTGGCCGAGTTTCAGACGTTTGCAGAGATAAAATCGGTTTCTCAAGTAACTATCGGCCCTTCGCCCAAAAAGAAGAAAATGACCTGATTTATTGATGCATCACTAGATAGTAAATTTTGTTTTGGTATTTAAAATAACCGATCGGATGGTTCAGAAAGAGAACAAGCAAAAGTTGAGGAAAAATGCTTTATTTACTTTCACACCGTTTTAATGAACCTGTTTTTAGAAGCTGCTTAGTTTCAGTTTTCCGTCTTCCAGGTACGTGTTGGAGAAGGTGGACCTGGTCATCGTTGGAGCAGAGGGAGTCGTTGAGAGCGGAGGGATCATCAACAAGGTGCGTTCCCTTGGCGGCCCCGGGTGAAACTCAAACTGGAGGATAGTTGAACACGCGTATCAGATCGGGTCTGTGTAAACACGGGGCGGGTGTACGTTTCCAACAGAATCTAGAGTGTGTGTGTGTTTTTCCCCAGATTGGCACCTATCAGATGGCTCTGTGCTCCAAGGCTCACAACAAGCCCTTCTACGTCGTTGCAGAAAGTTTTAAATTTGTTCGTCTGTATCCGCTGAACCAACAGGACGTGCCCGATAAGTTTAAGGTGCGGCTTCCTTATTTTGTGTTTGTTTTTTTAAACGATTTTCCGTCCTTTCATCCAGATTTATTGACTCGTGCTTCCTGTCCCGCACAGTACAAAGCCGACACCCTGAAGAGCATCCGGAACCTGTCGGAGGAGCACCCGGTCATCGACTACACGACCCCTCCCTCATCACCCTGCTCTTCACAGACCTGGGGGTCCTCACCCCGTCGGCCGTCAGCGACGAACTCATCAAACTGTATTTATAACCGCGTCCCTTCGCTGAACAATAAAACAGACGTTTATGGTCCGCCTGCTTCCTGCTTGGAGTTCGTGAGCTGTTGCTCGAAGTCTTCCTCGCTGATCTGGCCTTTTTTTAGTTTCTTAAGGAGGCGAGTGTCTTCTAAAAGCTCCTTCATGTATTCTTCGTCCATGTCGGAGTCCTGCAGAGGCAGAACAGAAGCCATGAGAACGAAACTGCAGTACTTAACGTTTATGAAGAGTATATTTTTTACAGATTTGCTGAAACTGTCACTATGAGGTGAGATCGATCTAGTCCACTTCCTCCCTGAGCTGTTATGGCCGTCTGAAGAAATGAAACGTTCCTGGTCAAAAACAAACAATCGCAGCCAGGAGGAGGGTCCTAGCGCTGCCAATCAATGTCGTGAACGCACTGCTAAATGTGCTAATGGTGGAGAAACACCTTACTGTTAAAGGAAAACTTTATCGAGTGGCCATGCTAACTAGCCTTAGCATTCATGACAGACTATGGTAGCTGGAGATTAGTAGTTTCAACAGATATGTAAAAGAAATATGTCTATATAAATATATATATATTAATAAAAGTTGCACACTGCAGCTTTAATGTTTCATTTATCCCCCAAACAGAGTTTACCTCGTCGTGTTTCCTTTTGGCGCCGCGTTTTTTCTTGCGCTCCTTCTTGGTCTTCTGCTTGGACCAGGCCTTGTTCTTGACAAAGTTCTTCTTGGGAAGCTCCGTCTTCTCTTTGTTTTTCTGCTCGGCCAGCATCTTCTGCCTCTGCTTCTGTCGGTTTTTGTCCTTGTAGCGGATGCTGTCCGTGTCCACCGTCGTCTCCACGAAGTCGGGAAACGTTTTCCCCTTCAGCTCGGGCATCTTCGGCAGGCGGAGCAGCGCGAAGCCTTTGGCCAGGGACACAAAATCCAGATCTAACAGAAAAAGAAAAAAAACACGAGAAGGTTTCATTTTCTTTGTTTTGTTTGGGGATAATAAAAAAAAAATACATACAGTTGGCTTTGAGGATTTGTCACCTTTTACTCTGAAGATGAGGCTGCATTCGTGTTTGGCGTAAGCCTGGACGTACGACACAAAGGCCCTCATGCCTTTGTCGAACATGGCGCGGTCGGCCAGGGCCATGGCCTTCACCTTGGGCGTCACGTCCACCACGTCCTTTATAGGAGACATCTT